GGGGACTTACCCAGGAATGGGTTGTCGACTATGTGCAGGTAGAGAGCGATGGCCCGGGAGCGCGAGCTGTGGGACTGTACGCCCAAGGGATGGGAACCGAGACCGGTTGGAGGGGGAGTAGAAATGTCTATACCTGCAGATCATAAATGGAGAGGGACCACGTGTGACTGGGTAGGGTCTGAAATTGTGCCCGACCTATCGTACCTATGGATAGAGCGTGTCTGGAACCCGCTAAGGGAAGAGGAAGGATGGGAGGAGATTGCGGAAGGAAGGGTGGAGTCGGTCGATACCGGTCGTCCTGTCCGAACAAGGTTGGCACCTGTTTTGCACAACGCTTGCGGCAGGGGAGAACCCGATGTGGCTTTTAGGGGATGCTGAGGCAAGGGCTCGACGAGCGGGTGAGAGATTTGCTAACAAAGGATGGGACGCGGTCAGTAGTAGGGTCGTGATGGGAGGATGGAAGGAATTTAGGCCCTCCTGCCAACGAATTAAGACCTGGGTACCCGAGTTCGTAGCAGATTGGTTTGGGGGTTTTGACCATGTCGAGGAAGTAGCCAGAACTATGGGGCGGGTGCACGTGAATTGCGCTTGGCTAACGGAAGAGTTCTATAAAACATCTCTGAAATATGGGCCGTTCCATGGCGATAGAGCCTGGGAGGTCCTCATCATTTTGGACATCGAAAGGAATGACCGGATGGAAGTAGCCCCAGAAGTTAGGGATGCCATAATCCGCCGGGAAGTAGCAGCGACGCCCTGTTATGTGGATGATGTGTTTAAGTTGTTCCAGGTACTGTGGTTCGATTAAGAGCGGGAAACGTCGCGGGGCCAGGCAAGCGTGGGAAAATTGCTAAGATAAGGGAATGGGATGTCTGGCCGTTGTAGGGTTTGTTGTGGACGATGAAGTAAGGAGACCAAGAACAGGCGCGCAATGGCACGAAGAAGGACGTTCCTTGAAGATCGCCCCCTAGGCATTGAGCCACCTAGGGAAGTAGAGGGTGGGGCAGAGGTTAGCCTGCCGGCCGTGAGCGAAGGATGGCACCCGATGGTGGATTGGGTCGGGGTTGAACTCATGGAAAATATGGTTTACTTGGTAACGAGGGTCGAGTGGCGTGCTGATGAGCATGGGGAATGGAACCCGGACCCGCGGGGGCATGTGCGTGCCGACGGGCGATTGTATGTGTCCGAGGATGGGTGGCGCGAGTTCGGGGTCCTGTTGGCATCTGGGGAAGATCCATTAAGTATGTTCAAAGGGGCATGGCAATTAGTATGAGATTCGGGATTTGATTTCGCAGATCCGGGATTTGATGATGTAACGGCGGACCTTAGGGTAGCTAGGGCCGGAAGTTTTGAATTGCCGAGCGAAAACATTCGGATGAGGCTGCCGCCCTTTCTGCTGGAAAGGCTAGGCGGACTGGAGCTTGTCAGACAGGCGGTTGCCGACCTCGCTGGTTTGACATACGAAGACACGATGGTACACCGAGAATACTATCGGGTCTTCCTAGAAATGAGACCGTTTAGCGGAGAACAGAGGTATGGAGTGTTGCGGACCCTGTGCGCCGTGCTTACCACTAGACCAAGGGCTCCGGTTGTCAGCGATGGGGTTCTATGGGGCGTTGTCCGACGGGAAATAAGTCGGGGGATGCCGTCTGTGGACGACTTACATCGATTGTATGAGCCGACGGAGGTAGGAACAGACCGATAGAGGAGCCGAGGAAGGGGAAGGGGATAGAGAGGAAAGGAATCATCAAGCTAAGGACCAGGGAGTCGCTTAGGTAAGGGCCGAATAATAAATGAAATAAGCAAACTCGCTTGCTGTTTAAGCTGTGCAGGGGACCGCTAAATCAAAATGGCGATGAGACGCGCCCGGATGTCGCGACGGCCCACGCACCCCCGACCCCCCACGGAAAGCGGAGACGGATGGGAGGTATCGCTCCCAGCAAGCTACAGGGTCCGAGGAATCGATACCGAATGGAGAGTCGTAACCTTGGGGAGGGACTAGGCGTTCATGATGGTGGAACGTTTGTGGGATGGTATGAGGATTAATAAGGGACCTGGGGACGATCTATACACTGATCTTAGGGTGACGGGGACCGTATTCCTACCGGAGCTTGGATGGCACATGCTAGGAACGGAGTTGGCACTTGGGCATGGGTTGTTACCAATCTTCCAGAGGGCCACTAGGATATTGAACCGAGTAGGCCAGGAAGTGCGAGGGAGAAGGAACGTGGGATTGAGAACCCGGGTGGAGGTAGGAGGTTGGCGAGAGTTTAAGGCCCCAATGACAGGGTTGAGATGCCGAGTGCCTCGCTTCATGGTAGACCTGGTATTCGGCAGTCTTCCAAGGGCAAAGGATCTGGTGGACTCGACCCTGGTCTGGATCCACCACTTCCGGCCGCAGACAACGGGCATGTTCTATGATGTGTCGGTTAGACATGGGCCGTTTTGGGGGAATCAGGCCTGGGAATTGCTTGAACTCATCGAAATCTTGATATTCGGATCGCCGCGCTTGTCGTTTGAGGAATACGAGCCAATAATCATCAGGGAAATAGAGATGGGAGAAAATTACCTTGTCGGGGTGGCTGACTTGTTCGAGGAACCGGACGAACAGGGCGGGCCTGAGGGATTAGCGTAAGGGAAGGCGCCAGGGGAAGATGGGAAGAATAAAGGATGGGCATTAAGATGAGAAGGTAGCCATCAGCAAAAGGGGGGGCAGTGGTTGGAGTTCCGCCCTACCTAACGATGCGGCAGGAAGGAACTAGGAAGACCACGCGCACCAGGAACGCCGGGGCATTTGGGTGTCAGAAAGCCGAAAGGGCTATCCTCAAGGAGAAAGCCACCGGGCTCAGACACCGCCCTGAGAGCCGAGACGGGCAACGACAAAATGCCAGACCTCGGCAGTAAGTCCCCCGGCGGAGGAAAATCTAAATGGTGTCCTGTGAAAGAAAAGTCAAGAGTGTCGTTCCGACTTATGAAAGACGGAAAAAGGCTTGGAAACAACCGGGTTTTAGGGCTGGAACTAGGGAAGCCATGAACAACCGGCCATTTTTCACAATTTTTTTTTTTCCATGTGCAGGCTAGGTAAAGAAATGGCGTCGCAAGAATAGGACGACAACCAGCAGAGCAGAGGGAGTCAGGGTACGAATAGGGACGAGGAACAGAACGAGGGGTCGGATCAGGAATTAGCAAAGCCAGAAGGTACCAGAGAAGAAGGGAAGGGCCTCTCCACAGGGGAAAGTTCAGGAAAAGTTGGGGGTAGCAAAAGAGGATCGCAGGAGAATAGGGAAGGAAGGGACAGCGAAAGGGCGAGCCCTCGAAACTCCGAAGGAACCACGCCCAAGAAAACGAAAGTTTCAGATGCACGTCGTAAGTTGGCAAAAATAGAAAGGCGGACTGCAGAATATAAGGCGAGACTTATCGAGCAAATGATGGCAGGGAATGAAGAGGATCCCCAGGGGGAAGGGTCACGAGAGGGACGTAGGACCAGTCAGGGCGAAGCCAGGTACGGGCCAAAAGATAATAGTCATAAGGGGACACCCAGCAAGAAGGGGAAGGAAAAGGGGGACTCCCCCGCCATAGAGGCAGAAAAGGCTACGACCCCGCCGACAATCGACAGCGGCGCCAGCCGTCTGCCCACCACGCCCAAAGTAACGAAGGGGTGAGATGGGCTTTGGAGTCTTAGGGAAAGGGTGTCAGGGTGGTTTGATCCGGAGGGTACGCCAAAGGCGAGGGAAAAGCAGAAGGAAAGCAAGGAGGGAGAAGGGACTAGTCCGGTCGGGGAGGTGGGTAGCTCTGAAGGGGGGCTCAGGAGGATAGTAGCCACCTTCACCCGGGCTCTGAATAAGAATCAGGGGTATCTCGCAGACGCAAAGAAGAAACTCACTTTCGATGGTGCAAACATCACGGAATTCCTGATAGATTACGAGAACCTGGCCGCCTTACTGAAATGGACTGAGGAAGAAAAGATGGACCACCTAGGGCAGCACGTATCGTTGAGTTTAGGAAGGGACATTATGGCTATCGTCTCCTGTAGTGGATCCTGGAAGGAAACCCGGAATGAGATGATGAGAAAGTACCTGAAGGCGGAGAAAATGGCGACAGAGGCTGAATTGGCGGCAGTCCAAAGGAAAAACTATGCTACTTACAATGACTTTCTGAGGGCGTTCACCCTAGTGGCACTGCGAATCCCCGGGGTAACGGACCGTGTAATGAGTAAGTACTTTCTCAGGCAGTTCTCCGAGTTCGATAAGGATAAGATCCTGTCAGCCTACCAGAAGACCAACAAGTTCGAATACACAAGGGACGTGGACTTCAGCACCGTAACAGACCTTGCAGAAAAGACTGCGGTGACCGAGACGCTAGCCCTGCTTAAGGAAGGAGAGGTTATAGATCTGACCGGGAAGACGGGGGATAAGGTCAAGAAGGGGATGGAGAGTTTGCACGAGCGGGTGCACGGGGCCGATAATAAGATAGAACGAGTGGAGAACGCGCTATTAGTAATGCAGGCACAAGTGTTCCGACCCGCCCTCCCGCCCCAAGAAGCCGTGGTTCCGGCAGCTGTAGCAAACCGGGGGTTTGGCAGGAGGGCGGAGGGCGCAGTGTCCCGGCCCTCCTCCGTGTACCAAGTCCTTGCTTGGTACAGTCCCTCGCGTCTGTGCCTCGACCTGTAGACGTGTCTTGGGTTTCCGTTGCTGTTAGTGCCTAGGCTGTGCTTCGGCTCAGACCAGTCCAGGTGGCTGTGCCCTTGACAAAAGGGGTGCGCCACATTGGTCCACGCAGGCTCGGCGCCCTGCTGTACAGCAGAGCACAACCGGCCTATGGTCGTGGTAGCCGCCGGGTTCGCCCTGGGACGCGAGAGCGAAGGGACTAGCGCAGTCTTTTCTACTGCGCGTCGAATGCCCTTCTGCTAAGTTATGGATCAGATGCACGAAAAACAGGTAGCTGTCAGGAAGAAAAGAAAAAAAACGGAGTAAAGGATGGACAAGGAAATGAAATTTAAAAGAGAAAAGAAAACGGAACGCCTGATCGGTACACGGATCAAGGTCGTGGCTTTAGTCCAGAGTAATTCGGCGATAGCTGTCCGTCTACTATTATGACTGTTATTATTAATTTACCTATTTTAGGAAGCGGGTTCACTCTTGGTCCCCGTCACTTCGTAGGGAGGCCAACTGTTCGACTTCGAGTCCAGGCGGTGGTATTGTGGTTCAGGCAGGCCCAACCCTTCGAATATCACATGTACTTTCTGAAAAAATCAGAAAACGGACTTCCGCCGAACAGTTCGCCCGGAGCCGGCGGACGGCCGAAACAGGCAACTTGGCCCAAACGACGTCAGAACGACGCCAAATTTTGTGGAGACCTTCCCTATCATACAATGAGGGGGCCCACCAAATTTGGTGTCGGTCTCATAGCGTTTGGGGCAGGTTACGCAGGACTGAGCACACCGAATTTTTACCCTAGGCAAAGAAACGGTGAAAGCGGTAAGTTACCGCAACTATCAGAATCTGCAGATTCTGCAGGTTCCGGCCAATTGTGTCTGCTATATCTGTGTGTTTTCTGCATCTTGACTGCTGACTGAGTGTTGTGGGAACTGTTCTTGCTTCCGGGACTCAGGGGTACGGCGGGCGATAAGCCCGGTCACTTGGGGTAGGGGGCGACGCGGGGCCGAGGGTCACTTTGCACTCCGTCTCCGTCACGTACACCCATCCACCATAGCCAACCTTCACCTACCTTCTTCCACCTCTGTCACCTACAACCGTCCACCTTAACCGACCTTCACCTACCCTCTTCCACCTCCGTCACCTACGCCCCTCCACCATTGCCAACCTCCAACTGCCCTCTTCCACCTTCATCACCTACACCCACCCACCATAGCCGACCTTCACCTACCTTCTCCCACCTCCGTCACCTACACCCATCACCGTAGCCAACCTTCACCTACCTTCTTCCACCTTCATCACCTACACCCATCTGCCATAGCCGACCTTTACCTACCTTCTTCCACCTTCATCACCTACACCCATCCACCATAGCCAACCTTCACCTACCTTCTTCCACCTCCCCTCCATTACCTACACCCATCCGCCATAGCCGACCTTCGCTTAACTTCTTCTACCTCTATCACCTACACCCATCCACCATAGCCAACCTTCACCTATCCTCTTCCACCTCCATCACCTATACCCATCCACCGTAACCGACCACCTCGCACCTTCCTCTTCTAGCACCTCCCTCATCCGCCCGAAAGTCGCGGGGGTCGCAAGGGGGCGCCCGGGACCTTAGGTAGGGCCGGTTAGGGTAGGTCAAGGGGGCAGGGTCGATTAGGATGTGAGACCTCTCGTCTTTTCTCTCTCTCTCTCTCTCTCTCTCTCTCTCTCTCTCTCTCTCTCTCTCTCTCTCTCTCTCTCTTCTCCCTTCCTTTCCCTCTCCCTTTCTCTCTTTTTCTCTCTCCCTCTTTCTCCCTCCCTCT